ATAAAAAAAGCTGTATTACCCCTACGTCACAGCTAGGGGATACACACGTTATGCCTGTGATAATGTTGCCTGCATATCCATGAGTATATTAATTCCATGCTAAGTCAGCATTGATGGTCTAAAACTAGGCTCTGCAACAACGATGAAATAAGGAAACACTTAACAGTGTTAGCTCAGCTTGCAATGGACTACCATGATGAGTTTTTCTGGATGGAGGATGGCAAACAGGTCAATTGTTAGAACTTTTTAGGTTGCATAAATAGGAACAATAAGCTTGGCTATGCTTAATAGTGAAATTGATCTGAATATGGGCGAGGCACTGTCAAGGCTGTTATTCTATTGTTGATAAGCAATAGTTGTACATTTTGCTGTTCTTTTGTTAAAAGATGTTAAAAGTTTGAGTTAAGTATACCTCCTGGATTGTAATTGAACCTTTGTCTTTATCATCAGTGTACCTGAGCATATCCCTAGCTATTGGTCCGCTTGTCTGATTAGATTTTTGTGGAAGACCATGGATGATTTACATAATAATTAATGTCTGCATAATCTTTATGTATGGACTAAAATCAGTTTGCAGCTGTACTGCATCATTGACTAGTGCTTATCTGTCTGAACCTCTATCTCAAAACCTAGTTTTATTGCAATAACTATGTACCATGTCTTCATAAGTAATACAAAATGCACTTCACAAAATGCAACTTTCAAGCATTCAAATCACGTGGTGATAATGTTTACATATTTCAGCAACACACAGGAGCACATTAAGTGTGTCGTGTTACGACTGTATGAAGAATATTTGTCATACTATTATCTTTTGTTATGTAATAGTAATTGTGGTTACATCATTCGTAAATTTTGGAACACATGTTTTTCCAGCAATGTCGTAAAGCATGTGTGACTCGTAAGTCTCATTTGAACAGTCATACATTATGAAAAACGAAGTACAAACGCATATATGATACTTGGGTATTTTTTATTGAGTCAGGTAATATAATCTGTGAAAACAAACGTACTTCAAGATTATTTTCGTTTTTCATACATCACATTCATATACAGTTTATGTGGTATTGTTTAAAATAGTGTTCCACTTGCTTTTGAATGAGAGTGAGATAACATTAAACATATGCATTGCACAGAGTGGCTTAATGTTTAAACCCAGCTCGGCAACTTCTACTTAAATATATAGTTTTAAGCTGAAAATGTGAGATTGTATATTAAAACTCTACATACAGGAAGACTAGGTGACGTTACGTAATTGTTAATACAAATTCAGATTACTCAGGAGTGATTGTTCAGTAGAAGTGGGATTTTGTTTCTTAACTTAATTTGTTCACAGAACTGCTATATTCATATGTCACAAGTTGAAGTAGTTAGGAACAAATTCTGAAATAAAGGTTGTACGATTTTAACTTGGTATTGTCTCTTACTAATAGGGCAGTTATTATTCTCATGTCTGTCAGAACTGGCAATAAAGCTGACAAAGTTAAATCGGTGTAAATATCAATTTCAAAACAACATGAATTATATTTGACAATCATAAATATTCGGTATACTGAACAGAATGCATAAACAAATTTTGTATCAGCAACTCGTAATATCGACTTTGGAACTTGAAATGAGGACTATTAAACTCGTAACAACGACTATTAAACTCGCAATGACTTTCAAACGACTATTGAGACTCGTTATTACGACTTTAAAACTAGTAATAACGACTTTATTTCGAGTTTGAAAGTCGTTATTACGAGTCACAAATTTGCGAGATTTATAGTCGTTATTATGAGTTTGAAAGTCGTTATTACGAGTTTGAAAGACGTAATAACGAGTTTCATAGTCGTAATAACGAGTTTCACATAAATTTGTATGAATATCCCTAACAAGCCTTTGTAGTATACCTAGGTCGATACTTGCAGTAG